TCTTTCTTTCTTTCTTTTTTTCAAATAGGGAACTTTCAAGATTTATCGCTGCTGGGAGACTACACTGCAAGATAGACAAAGTCAATGAAATTGTAGAAACCAACAGGTAACTGTCAAGCTTTATTATTGAATACTGTTTGTAGCATTATTCGGACAAGAACAGTAATTATTAATAATTGTAACAGTAACATTACAAGATTTGCCGATTGTAAATTGCTATCCTGTCAAATGTGTTCTAAGTTTATTCAGTTATTTTCCCATCTGGGCCAAATTTCAAATAAATACTGTATGTAGCCCCAAAAACCCTTGCTTTTTTTCTTGGTTATGATCTTGCAAGGGAAGACCAATAGTTGTAAAGAAAATGCTTTATAAGAGTCTTATTTATAGACTTCTTAGGATCACAGTTTGAAGGCCAACTGGTGCTGGTACAACCTCTCAATAAATTTTCTGTTGTTTTCTTATTGTAGGCCTGACAGCAAAAACTGGCAGTACCAAGAAACCATCAAAAAAGGAGATTTGTTGTTAAACAGAGTGCAGAAGCTTTCTCGAGTAATTAACATGTAATTTTTTTAAAAAAAGTAAAGCAAAAGAATGCACCAGTCAGAACTTTTCTGGAAGTAATTATTCCTATATTATATAATTTGTACTGTAGGTGAGGAAATGTAACCATGATGTAGTTAGGGCTTTTGCAGTCTTATTTCATTGTGTAAACAACTGAACTGTATATGAATATTCATGTTTTTCTGACCATTGTCATTTATTAAATGTACAGTACAGTTGACAGTTTTGTTCTCGAGTTATGGCATTTAATTTAAAGCTTAGGGTTTGTTTGTTTTTGTTAACCAGAGGCTGAACTGTTTTGGTCTTTGTTTTGTGAATGAGAATGTGAGTCTGATCTTTTCACAACTTTTCAGGGCACTTTGACAAATTGTTGTGTTATACTCCATTAATTTTTCAGATAAAGATACTAAAATTCATAGGCTTCATCTACCAACAATTGTTTATTCAAGTCAACCCTATTATGCTAGGTGATAAAAGATATTTTATCTGTTCTCAAATATTTGCTTTATTGGATAAGACCAAAATATGAGAATTTTTTCCCCTTAGCCAATTTCATACCATATGTAATGTTAGGTATGTACTTTTTTTAAAAAAATGATCTGGAACCCCATTTTTCATTATAATACCTTTTTGCAATAAAGTGAAACCTTCATTTGCTTCTTTTTGTGTTAAATCAGGCATAATTCTACTTTGAATCCCATATTATTTATGAACATATGAAAAAGCACACCTATCCTTGGTGACACCACAATCCCCTTTTTTTTTTGGACTGGAATTACAGGTTTGTAAGGCGTTTCCATATTGCTCTGGAGTCTTTGAGAAGTGTTGAACGGCTTCTCACATTGTGTAATCAACTCTTGCTTCTCATACTAAGAAGGTGCCAGAGACTTGTCAGTATCACTTTTGTTTGCATATAAGGAAACAGGCCAAGAACAGAGCTGGGGTTATTGTCAGACAACTATATTTATTGGATTTTTTACACCCGACTCTATTACTTTTATAAATAACTCAAGGCTGCAAATGTACCTAATACTCCTTTCTCCTCCTGTTTTCTCCACCACAACAATCCTGTGAAGTGGGTTGGGCTGAGAAAATGTGACTGGCCCAAGGTCACCTAGCCAGTTTTTCATTCTTAAGGCGGAACTAGAACTCAATCTTCTAGTTTCTAGCCTGGTATCTTTACCACTAGGCCAAACTGGCCTTTACAAATACATAAACCCTATTTGCATAGGTAAAGGTTCCCCTTGCACGTACGTGCTAGTTGTTTCCGGCTCTAGGGGGTGGTGCTCATCTCCGTTAAAAAGTTGAAGAGCCAGCGCTGTCCAAAGATGTCTCCGTGGTCATGTGGCCAGCATGATTAAAACACTGAAGGCACAGAGAACGCCGTTACCTTCCCACTAAAGTGGTTCCTTATTTTTCTTACTTGCATTTTTACATGCTTTTGAACTACTAGGTTGGCAGAAGTGACGAGAGATCACTCCGTTACGCAGCACTAGGGATTCAAACCACTGAACTGGCGACCTTTCTGATCAACAAGCTCAGCATCTTAGCCACTGAACCACCGCGTCCCCTTCATTGCATCACTGCATTGGTGATCTTACAGGCATGCATTACTAAGAAGGGCAGAGAGATCTTTTGGATCTCAGTCCTGATGTATTCTATAGGATCAACAAAACTACATGGCCAATGAAACAACTTAGCACCAAGTAGCAGCATTCAAGCATCTGATGAAACAGATTTGGCTTCTGTTCTGTGGGCTTCTTTGCACTACCTAGAATGAAGGTGTCTTTGCACTACGTAGAACATGGGCTTCTTTGTTCCTAGAAATGTTTAAGTGCTTCGTGTTATGACATGACCTAACAAGGCAGCATGATCTATTTTTGATACATGGATTTTCTTCACTACAATTCCATTCAGAAATTTTTTTAACAGGCATTGGCAAGACACTATTCTTGTAGCCTTGGAATAGATCAGTTTGATCGTTCAGAAGATTCAGTAGTTAACGTGTTATTTTGGCCGTAACTGTTCCAGGTTTTTGTGAGGGCTGTGCAGCAGTAATCATTGCAATTATCAAGAAGTTGTGAACACCTCAGAATTTGGATGGAGTTAATATTTTATGCCAGTTTCTGGGGAAAACGTCCACACATTGTGATTCTTCAAGATACCGCCTTAAGTGAGTTGAGTTCCAGCACTAACAGCAGATGGCAGCATCATGTATGTTCACCAGTTGCTTAAAGAAGAAAAAAATCCACCTTTGAGAATCTCCATGAGTTCTTAAGCTATTGATTCAAAATTCTTATTTCTGAGATGATATTCCTTGTGACTATCATCTCAAACTAAGCAAATAGTTGAGATAGAGGAAAGGTCAGATTTATACTTCACATGATCCATCAAATTATTAAAAGGTTTTTAATTGAATGGGAAAAATGTTATTTTGTTTTACATCAACTATACATCTAGAAGGAAATATCCTCCAACCAACCAATAATATGCCTTACTTTCCCCTAAATTAGATAAAATCTGCAGATAGTTTTAAGTACTGCTTTATTGTGTCATATAACTACAATGCATTCACTAATGATCCCATAGTGATTTTTAGGACTAATGCTTTTATAGGAGACATGGTAAAGTACCTGGACATTATTTGGTTGCTGGATTTTCATTGCAAAGTACTTTGGGAACAGTGCCTGTATTGTGTGAAAAGGCTAGATACTGAAAGGAAGAAACCAATATTCACCCTCAGTATGTCCTTTTAAGACAATTACAAATTTTATATAAAATTCAGTAGAGTTTTTAACCGTTTATCCTGCATTTTCATTAGGTTATGAAATAAATGACTGCCAGAAAAAGCAGGAGAAAATTGAGTTGATACAATTCAACACCCACTAAGTGAAGACAAAGGTTAATTCCTCCATGTTCATTTCCAATGATTTGGAAAGGCTGCCTGTTCTCCGTGATAATTTATGATTTGAGATAATAGATTTATTCACTTGTCATTTGAAGTTGGTTTTTTTCCTGTTCTACTACTCTCCAAACAGCCTCAAATTAGTAATTAGATACAGTACAGTGACTGATGTGTGCTGATGTTTAGAGCAGATGAGACAACTCAGCCTCGTATCATGTTGCTTCACATTGATAAATTCTTTACAGGTGTCAAGGAGGCATTAATTCTGTTTTGCATCTACCTGATTTACAGATAGAGGTAGGAAGATGCAGACAGCTTTATAAGACCTTACAAAAGTGTAAACCCTTTTGCATGTAAGTTTCTAGAGGTGCTCACATCTACCTGATTAGAAATACGGTTGGGATTCTTCACAGAAATAATGACAACATCTCTTAGCTCAGTCCCAGCTTTGTGATTTCATTATGAAACAGAAACGTTGTGCACCTCATATAAAGACAACCTAATATTTTTTTTTTATTATCTTGGTTTAAGTCACAATTTGTTTATTCTGCAAGCTTACTTTTCTGGTTATGAAGCAAAAGCACAAGTTTTTTTTTATAAATAGTATAAATTATTTTATTTACAGAAACCTGTTACAAAACAAATAGACTATATATTTTCTTCTTTTAAATATCCAAAGTAATTTTTTCTACCCCATGACATTTGTTCATATACTATACAGCAGCCAACACAAAAAGTTCAGCTCCGAGCAGATGCTCTTGAATATGTATACAAATTATCAAACTATTCACACATTTTACACAGGAGATTGCTTTTCCCCACCCTCTTTATGGAGCTAGGCTCAACTCCGAAGCAAGAAGCTTCCATGGCCTACATTCTCATTGACATTATGTAGTGCTCATTAAAAAATAATAATAATAAACACCTTTCATAAAAAGTAGAGTATTTTGCACAAAGCATTTAACAGGTTTTCTGCTGAAGGTAAGCAGAACAATCTTCAAGTGCAATCCCCTTCACTTTACAATTACCAATCCCCAAAAGATAGAGACAAAAAAGGATACTTGGCAATAATAACTCTTGCCGGAAAACAACTTACTGGAAAATGGTTGAAAAATCACACAATTGAGCACAAGCTCACAGGGAGAGGGGCGGGGGTGGGGAGGAGAAGTCTTCACTGAAATGAACTGGGATTTGAACGGCTGCCAAACTCGCGTTCATTTCGGTGAGGATTGCGTTGTGGGACAGTGGTAGTGGCTTGTGTAGGTAGCTCGTAAAATTGCTTTGAGAGGTAACTTTTTTTCAGTAATACAAAATGTCAACAATCTGTATCCTTAAAAAAAAGTTCTATCTGATTACAACAGAATTAGGGCTCTCTGAATTACACCTATGTGCAGAAGAACCCCCTGGCATTGTTTACGAACCGAGGATGTATTTCAGTTGGATCGTTTGCAAGTTTTATTCTCATTCCCCTGCATCCTCTCTTCCTCATTAATGGAAAGTCACATGGAGGTGGGAAAAGCAAGCTCGACTTTAAAAATTTTATTTTTTTTAAAACAGAACATTCAAGTCTTTAAAGGAGAAGCTGTCTAAAGAACAGTCCAAGCTTAAAATCTAGATATATAAATCAGGCACTTTCAGTTTTTCCATTAGTTTTTAAACCATATAAAGACTCACACCTCTGTGTGCACATATGCGGGCACAGAGGTGTGCACATACACATACACACAAATGCTAAAATGAAAAAAATAAAAATAAAGCAGTGTGTCACAACTAAATGTAGTCTTCTGGAAATCAGGCAATTGTAAGCTATGCTGTATATACCAGAGGAGGTCAACAACATGCCACGCGATGTGACCTCGCCTCGCTGCTAAGAATTGGAGAAGCGGGAGGGGGGATGGGGGGGACGGGACTTTCACTTGTACGTAGCAATTCCCAAGACAAGGGAGAGAATGCCCTCGCCACCACTCCCCAGACAGAGGCATCCCTTAAAAACTGCAAAGTAGGCATGTTAGCTATTGGCTTGGCAGTGAACCACTTCAAATTATAAAAAAAAAGGGTATTTGCTTTTTTTCCTTTTTTAATTAATAAATACTAGATGATTTTCAATTGTACCAAAACTGGATATAAGAAAAAAAAAACGACCTGTGCAAAAATACATATTTAAATATGTACAATCAATTAACAAAATATGTCTTCTGAAATAGGGATACTTCAATATTTATAATAGAACAAGAAATTCCAAAATAAAGGTACAAAATTATGGGTTTCATTATTTTTTGTATATTTCTTTGTTCACCATTGCAACATTTTTTTTATTATTTTTTTAGGTTAAGAAAACTGCAGGAGTCATAATGAGAAGCAGGGAAGTCTATAAAAATCGTATCTCTTAAATTAAAATCATTCTAACAACCCAGTCACTGCAAATTTTGCAAGATAAATTAAATTTAAAAGTTCCTTAATTATTTACAATGAGAATGTTGTCAGACAATAAAAGATTCAAAAACAATTACTCCATTCATCACTAAGCTCCCAAAAATGGAATATTGTTTGCCTAATAGGTAAGCAAGTCTACACTTTGAGGGCAGGCATAAATTAACATCTTCCACTTCTAAATTCATAGTAAATTATAAAACTATATGCCTTAAGAGCCAGATGCAAGACATAATTCCACCTCAGAATGCCTTATATGCATTTAAGCCCTACCGAACGCACTGGGTGAATTCTGTGCAACAACATGGCTGTGTTTGTGTGAAGTTCCCAGTGCTTTCAACATAGCTTGCAGCGCAGGCATTCGCAGTGGGAATTGGGTCCATAGCTGTGCAACCTATTTAAATTAAACACTGTTGAACTTTCCACAGAGATTTGCATGTTTTAAGGAGTTTGGGACTTGCTTTGATATGCTCAGAGTAACAGAATATTTATAAAAGAAGTATATTTTCGAATACTTAAAGCCACTAAAATTTAACTCATGGAAAAGGTCAGCCTTCAAAGGTAAAAACCAAATTGCACTTGTGATTGAAAATACCTAACATGTGGGATGGAACCTATGTCTACTTTCTCTGCCAGGCAGATACATTACTTTGGTTGTTCCTTCCCACTTTCCAAATAAGCCAATTAAGAGGTCTTCACATTTTTTTACAATATTCTCTATCTACCGAAGGGTTGTTTATAATTCCTCTTTCTCCAGAATGCAGTCACTTTTAATATTTGCATAATTATCAGTGTCCATAATATTATTCCTTTACTTAAAAAAAAAAACCCAACATGATCTTTTGTGAATTCAAGGCTTTAGAGTTGTCTGCATAGAGTCTTGTTTCTTCACTGTGTTTTTAAATAATTCACTAGCAAATTTCATGTTGATTTGAAAATCTCAACAGGTAAAAATCAACCAAGGACAATAACAATAACAACAAAAAAAGACCCCAAGCATTTACTGCTCGTGGTGGCTTTAGAATCCCTGATGTGCAATGCACCACCGTAGTAGGGAGAGAGAGAGGCTGGGTTGTGTGAATTAGATAGGCTCAGATTGTCTAATCTCAGCAAAATCTGGTGCCCATTTAAGGCAGAAGTCTACAGGCGTATTTCATTAAGAACATCTTCACAAGCCCTGTTGTGGATAGATTCAGATGATCTGTTTTCTCCCTCAGGAACTGTTAACTTTTTTTTGACTATGTGGCTCTCACAAGTGACAGGCATGAGATGAAATTGAATGGCCTGAAAGGTTGGGTGTGAGTCCACAAGTGCAACAATTTGCAGGTGCATCTCCGAGAAGCTGTGAAAATGCAACATGCTAAAAAATCTGGCCTCGTTGAATGATTGCAAAAGTAAAACTCTCTCTGGGGAGGAAATGACTGTCTGAATCTATACTCCAAAACACACCCTATTACAAGGGGACAGGAAGTGCATTTATTTTTTTTATAGAATTGCAGAAGGAAAATTCCCCATGGATTATGTCCTATGGTTTGGATTGATTGTTTCCTCCCCCTTTCAAACAAAACGCGTAAAATTCTAGGTTGTTTTTCAAGGTTCACTACTCTTACAATCAAACCAGATCACATAGTAGTGTTAAAGCCCTTCCAACTTAAAAAAAAAACAACCACCCCTTTTTGTTTAAAAGAAAAAGGTATCAGTGGGGACTGAATGACACATTACCCCCCACCCCCCCCACCCCGTTATAAACTGGTAATGCAAGGGGTAAATTTAATACTGAGCTCAGAACCTGAACTGGCACTTAATGCAGTCATCAGAAAAAAAATCTGAAGGGGGACTTCAGAAAAAGGTGATTTGGTTGTGTGAACAAAGTCATCAACTTGCTGGAAAAATCTTTCGAGAAAAATAGCACAGAAAATTTAGTGTTACAGATGATTGCAATTTAGGTGTTTTTTTTTTTAAGGATTTTTTCTTTCTTTTTGGTTTCATTTTTCATCCTTCCCCACCCACACCTCCCCAAAACAACAAAGGCGTATGGCGTACAGTATAGGTCAAGAATATATTCTTTGGGAATAAGTTTTAGAGGTCATTCACCATTTTGGATTCAAGAGTTTTGCATCGGTCTGTGTATCAGAATCAAAGCAATTTTATTTCAGAATCAAGCAGGTACCATCCTCCTCCAAAGAATGCCATTGCGCAACCTTCATTCATTTCAGTGGGTCTCGTAGAGGAGCCCCACACAACCTCCACTGGAAGGAATGAAGGAGGTGAGGCAGCTATGCTTGGTGGACAACTCCCATTAAAAATTGTTCTGTACCTTGTGGTTTCACAATTTAAATATGCTTTTTAGTTTTCGAGTGATGACCCCAAACTTGTGTTTTGTTTTAAGAACTCCTGTCAGCTTCTTATCCCAAATTACTTATAAAACGCTGGGCAAAATGTAGACTTTCATTTCTAAATTGTGCTATCTTTTTTTTTTTTTTTTTGGATTCCAATCAAGGAACATTGCTATAAAACACTAAAGCCATATTCCCTTCTGGAGGGCTTATCTGTCTGTTTTATTGTGCCTAACACATTTGTGCCCCCTTCTGGAAGGGTTTTCACTAGGACAGTGCCAAAAGAGCGGTTAATTAGGCCTATGACACTATCGGTAAAGAAAAGAAAACACAAGTCCATAGTAAATATTCTTTCCCAAACACTGCTTTGCCCAACCAATCTTGTTTGAATTAGTGGCAAAAATGATGTACTCCTGGAAATAAAACCTCACAGGGATGTGTAGCAAGCAGTCCAGACCACTGGTAACACTGATAGGAATAATCCTGTGGCTGAACGGCAATCCAGTGTCCATTTCCAATCTCTGTTGCTACAGACATGGCTTCAGGGATTCTCCTTGATTGAGTGACAGACTAGTAGATTTCCACACCTGAGAACTGTGGGAAGCTGGGAGAACTCAAAAGACATCAGGGAGTCCAGAATTTCCAGATGGAGATTTTTTTTTTCTGCTTGTAGTGAAAATAATCCAGTTCTGTCATGGTACTGTCAACTGCTAGGGACGTGCCTTTGGCTTTTACACAAATGGGAGATGGAGAGAAAGAAAAACAAAATATAAATATAATGCCTCAAACCATACCTAGTTACACAATTTGGGATACAAGAATCACGCTTTGGCAGAATCTAGGAATGAACATAACAGTCAAAGATGTGGAAGAACAAAGATTTGTTTTGCTTATTTCCATTGATCGACATGAAATGCTTTTATATAGGACTATTTGTTACAGATAAATAAAGATACTGTTAGTTAAGTCCAAAAAGCATTTACTTGATCCTTTCTTGTAAGCCCAAAGATGCTACAACCATCTAACAAATGGGTCGAAAATAACAGAAATATTTGTAAAACATTAATAAGTTTACTGATCAACAGCATGACTTTTTAAAAACATAATTCAATATATTTCTTTAGCAATATGGTTTCCTTTCCCTAATTTATTATGATTTGCTGGTCACTTCTCATATCAACAAAAGTTTTTCCTCCCCAGTACCAGGCCATAGTCATTCTGGTTGCAGTATTGGTACCGGTTTCAGAAATTATTGATTTATGGAGTTATAATGTCCATGGGATGAATTCATGTAATTAATATAATAATAGTTATCGCAGTGATTTTCTTTACTTTTTCATCAGTCTCTCAGACATAGAATCTACTGATGGCCATGAGAAGGAAAAATCCACAAATCCACATCAATCTTTTTCCTTCTCTAGCTGATGAAAGAAAAGCCAAACATAAAAAAGGAGCACCAGCAAATTATGTCATTTCTCAAGACATTTATGCTGCACTTGAAGATTCAACAAAACTGAAAATATGGAATACATTACATCCAAGATAAGTTACTGTTAAATATATGTTCTTTTTTAAAAAAAACAAAGATAGAGAATATAGCCAAGATATCTAAAATTTAATTTTTTATAACAAGTCTTTAACAGAGTAACAGAGTTGGAAGGGACCTTGGAGGTCTTCTAGTCCAACCCCCTGCAAATTACACTTTTCTGCTTTCAAATATAAGCAAAGTTTTAGAATGGCACCACGATGCATTTGCCTGTTGTTAAGTCTGACCCAAGTTAAGATTTCATACCTGATGAAGAATAGAATTGTTCATCAATCCTTGTGTCCCTGGGATTGCACCAGTGTGTTTTGTGTGAATGTTGTTCACCGGTGGCAATTTGGCAATCTTGCTTGCTTTGCTGCTGCTGCTGCTGCTTAGGCTACTTGAACCAGGCCCGCCCTTTCTTTTTTTTCCTATGAGTTTATCTAGGGAAGGATGGGAGTGCGAAAACCCGCCGTGCGAGTTTACAGTCAGTTCGCTGGACTGGTGAATGAACGGTCCCAGTGAGAGGGTAGAATCGCCGCTGTTCACCATCACACTCATTCGCTTGATCGATTCCGCGGGGCTCCCAGTTGGAGGCCCCCTCCCTGATTGGTCATGCTTGAGGCTAAGCAAGCTCGCTTTACTAGTCACACAGTTGAGGCCAACACCGTGGGATGAAGACATCACAGGCGAGTGAAAAGAAGCCCCCGAGTTTCCAGAGTTCGCAACGCAGTTTTTCCTAAAGGACTCCATGGAATGAGAAGAAGCTGCCGGCAGCACGGAACTGTTCTTACGCTTCTTTCCTGAGCTGCCGCTACCGCTGTTGCTACTGCTACTGTTACTGTTACAGTTGGCGCTGCTAGCAGAAATTTCCTTGGGCTTGAAAGACTTGCTGGATTTAAATTTCTGAGGTTTGCTGGACAGAGGTGAAGGTATTGAGGAAAGCACTGGAGGTGTTGAAAGGGATGTAGACCCTTGTCTCGATTGCATACTGCAGGTGGGTTCTGCGGCACCAAAACTAGCAGGGTTGGCATTGAGCGTAGTCCCATGGGATGGTACTGATTTGCCACTAAGAGATAAACAAGAGGGAGACACAAGCCCTGGAGGGGACACGGCAGTGGTAGGGAACGTGGAACTGGCTGTGCTCACACTGTACTGTGATGCGGGCATGGCACTTGTCCGGTGGGGAGCGCGGATGGATGCTGAGTTGCTTGTCGCAGGAGGAATCTTCCTGGAAAGCAGAAAAAAAATATATATCAAAGGATAGGCTTCAAAGACCATATTAGTTTGCCTGTTTTCAAAGGTCAACTGAACATGACTCAGAAGATACAGTGAAGACACTTGCATAACCCAACTTCCTTCTGCAGGCATATGTGGGTGTAAACCAGAACTCTGGGGGGGGGGAAAAAAAACATTCATTAAGGTTTTTTCTTCTTAGGATAGATGCTTGCTTTAGATAAACCAGGCACTGAATTTGGAATAAAGGATGGAAGATTTAATTTTTTTCTTGTTTAAGTCTGGTGGACTCTGGGAAAGAGCTGCTATAGGAAAAATGTACAAAGAAATAATTCTAGGCTCTTGGGCCATATAATTTGTGTATTAAGAAGGCTACGTGTTAGATCCACCATCTGACAAATACTTTCTGCTATCCAATACCTGTAAAGGTGAATAAGATAACTTTTATGCTGCAAATGAAACAGTAAATATCTAAACAAAATTTTAATCAAAGAGGATTCAATTGTTTTGTCTCCATAATCTTTTCTCTTTCCCCTACAAAACTAGTTTCATTTCCAAGAAATGATCAGTCTGTAGCAATATTTTAAAGGAAATTTCTTGCCATTTCCCATCCAACATTCTATACGTTTAACATCTGTTGTTCTTGAAAATTA